ATATATATATATATATATATACACATACATATATATATATATATATATATATATATATATATATATATATATATATATATATATAAAATATATATTTATTTATTTAATTTTTTTTTTAGTTCATGTAAACTAAGGTTGTTATCTAATGGCAATAAAATTAATTCTTATTGTAAATTGTCACTAAGCTCTCTAGAATTTTCAAAAATTATCTGACATTATTATGATGAACAAAAACAATGGCAGACTGGGCAACCATTACATAATTCTGGTCTTTGCTTCTCCCAGGCCAATATGGTTTAGAAACACTTACAACACAGCTTATCAATAATAATCTTGTTTGTTTATTCACTGGCCATGGAGGTTTGTAAAGCCTTACCCATTTGTTTTTATCGGTGCCATTTCTGCTCTCATTCTTCAGTTCCTGAACCTCTCGTCCCAGTTTCTTACACTTAGTCTTCCACTGTCGGATTGCTTCCTGTGCCTTTGACCGCAGCTCCTCTCTCCTTGTCTCACTTTCAATAAGCTGGGCCTTTAGATGTGAACACTCCAAACTATTGTTCTTTAAAAGAGACTGGACCTCCTTTAGTTGGCTCAACTTCTGCAACTGATGCTGCTCCAAATCTGAAGAAAGGACCTAAATAAAGCAAGCAAAAAAGAAAATGAAGGAAAAAGAGCAAGCTAAATTATAGACAAATCAGATGCCTCAAAACTATTTTACACCATGACTGGATCATTATTAATTTATTTGACATTTTAATGCTTTTTGTAGATTTGACAAAGATTCTAAGCACTTATGATCAAGTATCAGAAATGTCTTCATATATTTTATTTATCTCAAGAGGAAGAATGTCTGCTTTATCCTAATTAGTGTTTGTTTCTTATGTATCATGTAGGCAGAAGCCTGAAGCTAGGGCTGCAACTTTGATTTTTCAGTAATTTCGGAATGCAGTGATCTGTGCTTTGGAACAAAAACAACCCAGCTAGCAAAATTCATGTGGCTCAAATCCGGCCCACACCAGACACTTACATCGGGCCCACATACCGCATGGAATGATGCAACTTGGGCGGTCCGCCCCTGTTTGCCAGATCTGGGCCCCAATTAAGCCATAGCGATATCGCATATCAGCCAGAATTCAACCAAAAAGAAAACTGAGCCACATTTGCCATATGCTCTCTGGGCTGCTTTAGGCTCACAGCCACATTAGCCAGAGTTAACTTTGCCAAATATTTGCCCAAAGTGGCCCACATTTGTTTTAGGATAACTGTGCCACATTTTCCATATCTTCTGTAGGCCACTTTAGGCAAACAGCTACATTAGCCAGAGTTTACTGTGCCAAATATTCGCCAAAAGTAGCCCACAGATGTTTTAAAATAACTGGGCCACATTTTCCATATGCTCTCTGGGCTGCTTTAGGCTCACAGCCACATTAGCCAGAGTTAACTTTGCCAAATATTTGCCAAAAGTGGCCCTCATATGTTTCAGGAAAACCGGGCAACATTTGCCATATCTTCTCTGGGCCACTTTAGGCTCACAGCCACATTAGCCAGAGCTAACTCTGCCAAATATTTGGCAGAAGTGGCCCACATTTGTTTTAGGATAACTGTGCCACATTTTCCATATCTTCTCTAGGCCACTATAGGCAAACAGCTACATTAGCCAGAGTTTACTGTGCCAAATATTCGCCAAAAGTATCCTACATATGTTTTAAAATAACTGGGCCACATTTTCCATATCTTCTCTGGGCCACTATAGGCAAACAGCTACATTAGCCAGAGTTTATGGTGCTGAATATTTGCCAAAAGTGGCCCACATATGTTTTAAAATACTCGGGCCACATTTGCTATTTTCTCTGGGTCACATTAGGTTCACAGTCGCAATAGCCAGAGCTTACTGTGCCAAATTTTTTTTTAAAAAGTGGCCCATATTTGTCTTAAGATAACTGGGCCACATTTGCACCTACTCGTGTGAGCCACTTTAGGTTTAGAACCTGATTACCCTTAAATGACTATGCCACATTATTGCAAACTGTGGCCCACATTTGTCCTCCATCATTTAGGCCAAATTGATTATTTTCCACCTGGGCCACATTAGGCTCACATTCAGATTATATTTTGCCATAAGTGCCAAATCTTTGCCTTAAATGGCCCATATATGAATTTGAATCTTTCAAACCCACCCTTTGCAATTGTACAGGTGGGCCACTTCAGGCTCACATTCACTTTGTCTGGGCTGAAAGAGGACCACCAGTGCCGCATAAAGTGGCCCACATTTATATGCTATCTGGGAACAGCATGCTCTCTTTCTACACTCTAGTAAAATACTTATTATAACAGAAATGTTTACCAGAGAGGATCTTTCCAGCACTGCTATGAAACAATATGAAATGTACAAACCTCAACCTGGAAAGCAAGCTGAGCTTTCTCTTTCTCTCTTTGTTCAATGCTTTTCTTCAGCTCTTCTACCTCACTAGAGACATACAACCCTCTCTCCAGCTCTGTGCATCATAAGGGAAGAATACACACATTGTAGTTTAACAGGACATGATCCACAAAAACCTTGCCATATTAGCATGTTACCACTGTCAACGCCTGTGACACCTCCTTGCTGTTGTCTCCTTGCGCTCCTTTGCTGAGACAGCAGTAAAGACATCTCCCTTTGCAATTGTACATGGTCTTTCTCTATCCTGAGAAGCTGCGAACGCATGTCATCCATCTTCAGGGCAAAAAAAAGAAAAAAAGAAAGGCACACACGTTAAAAAAAAGAACCCTAGAATCTCTTTAGGTATTTTTCTGAATTTTTCTGAACTACAATCAATTGGTGAAGTTTTGGTTCCTTTTCCACTGTTGCCCCTGACTTGGCTTGCTTGGGATTAGTGGAGCTGTGCATTGGTGGAGTTGATCTTCAGTGGTTCGGCCTTAATCAGTGATTTGTAATACACCGATCTCAACTACACTGAAACTTCAACAGTGACATTTAGGCTGCTTTCACATAGGGTTGTAACGGTATGAATTTTTCACGGTATGATAATCATCTAAAACAATACCACGGTTTGACGGTTTCGCGGTATACGGTATGTTACAAATGTTACAAAATAATAGAACAGTGAAGCAAATTTGACTTTTTCCAAATAATATATTTTTAGTTACTATAAACAACACCACTTACAATGAACAAATAAAAATAAGAAAATAATAAATAATGTGTCAAAGTCCAAATAAAGTCCAAATAAACATGGTGCAAATCCTCAGTAAAAAAATAGATATAAATATTTACTATACTATAAATAGTTACATAACGAAACTAGATTCAATATGGAACATCGGTTTTATGTGCCAGCATGGATATGGTTGTCTATCGATATGGATTTGGATATGGTTGTCTGCAATGCAGACAAACAGCTGCACCTTCATTTACTTCTTTTGAAAACAGCAAGAGCAGCAGTTCGTCTTTGCTGTGTCACTGTTTTGTCATGTTTCTGTGCTGCTGTGCATGCAAAAGTACTTAGTATGAGAATTATTTCATGAAAAACTTTTTTTCTTGCGTTTTATTTAGCCGCGCATAAATGTATGCCTTTCTCTCATTCCGTGTTGTTCAAAAAGCTTGGTCCACAAACAAAAGCGAAATCTATGCTTATTGGTTGTGATATAGCGAGTTTGAACCAATCTGGGCATGGAGGAGGGACAATGCATCAATGTATCATGTCTGATTTGTCCAGAGACACAGTGACGAGCGTTTCTTTGTCAAATCAGCGTTGTCAAATGTTGATGACGTAACCGCACTGATTCCGGAGCCTCTGAAAGTCCGCGAATGTTATGTGATACAGCACTGGAAAGCTGAGATTCTCTTCTTTATGACAATCTTTGAATTGTATGAATCAGATCAGCGGATCAAAAGTTATTAAACATTTAAGAGCAATACTTATTTTTAGCCGCGGGCGGCTGTCTCGGTCTTTAAGGGTTAAAACCGTTGATATGCAATTGTTCATGGTATGATAATCGTGCACGTTCAAATCGTGGTAAACCGTCATACCGGTATATTGTTACAACCCTACTTTCACACCTAGATGTTTACTTTGGTACCTGACTCGTTTGCCCGGTTAGCTTGATTTATTTGGCGTACGGGAAAGCAATTGGACGATGAAACTGAAACCACAATAATTCATTAGTATGGATTAGGGCCTCTTTTTGCGGCCAATTCAGCATCAATTCATATTGGGAATGACCGATACAAGTCCTGCACAGTGCACAAAGGGATTTTGAGCCATTCTTCTTGCAGAATAGTGGCCAGGAGGCTAAGATTTCCTGACTCGCTCCTCCAAAACACCCAAAGTGCCTTGATAATATTTAGATCTGGGGACAGCGCAGGGCAAGGAAAATGTTTAATTTCACTTTCATGCTCACTAATTCACTTTGTCACCAGTTTTGCATTGTGTATTAGTGCATTATTATTCTGATAGACGGCACCGCCTTCAAGATACAATGATTGATACAATCATTGCACATGATCCTCTAGAATGGTTCGGTAATCCTTGGCAGTGACGCGTACATCTAGTATTAGACTTGGGGGAATGCCATAATAACTGCAGCCCTTATCATCACTGATCCACCCCCATGACTCACTTTGAGCATCAATACTTTAAGTATGAAGGGGCTTTGAATGAACAGGGTGATATTTCACATCATTTTGTAGTCAAAACTGAAAAACCTTTGGCAATTAGCAGAATTTTTGGTAAAAAAAAAAAAAAAAACTAACTGCACAGTAATTAAGTTTTACATAAGATTGCAAAGATTTGTTTTTCATTAGATATTAAGGGCCCTATCATACACCCTGGCGCAAGACGCGGCGCAATAGTCTTTTGGTAGTTTCAGCTTGGCGCAAGAGTCGTTTTGAGGCATTGCGCTACGCTGTTTAAATAGCAAATGCATTAGCGCTCATTTGTGCGCCCATAGGCGTTCTGGTCTAAAAAGGGAGGCGTTCTGAGGCGGACCGCTGGCGCGTTGCTATTTTTTTAGAAACTAAAATAGATTTTTCATTAGACCAAAACTAACCCGGTCTAAACTCCTGCGCAGAGTTGTGCCTCGCTTACGCACTGCTTAATACGCACAAGAGAGCAATAGGCAAATATCTTTACATATGAAAAAAATGTAAATATTAAGGATATATATATAGGATATAATAAGAATAGATATAGGATATAAATATAAAGGATTAAAATATTACAAAACATATTATTTTCTAGCCTTCATAAATATGAAAAATCACTGCTTTTATGTCTTCATCTCGGGAGGCTTTTTCAGTTAATTTATAACAATTTGCTTTTGTATAATGTTATAATTATTAGCAGTATTATTTATTATATCCATATTTATATTTGTTTTATTAAAAACAAGCTTAGATTTGCCCACCTGTCAGGTTTAAGACCATATGGGGCACAGCATGTGTTTTAGGATATAACTCAGGTTTTTGAGCACATTTTGTTATTATTGTTCATTTATTCGTTTGCTGGAAATTAGAACTGAATTTAGAAATAGTTTTGAAACGAATATTTGCGCTTAACAAACAAAACTAATTATTTATAGACTAATTGATGTCTGTGCGTAAAGGTTTCCCTATCCAAGAGCGAAAGTGAAAGTAGATCCATTATCTCTCATTCTCACGCAGTAGATAGTTTTCTGCTAATTAAAAAACTGTTAAATGTTCGCTAGTGAAATGCTCATTTTTTCCACTTAGACTTACTTTGCGTCCTGTAAATAGCGAATGCGCTCTTGGCGCGATGCAGCTGACTCTTAAAGGGAATGGGAGATGAGACTCTAATTGGTTTATTCTCAAAACACACCTATAACTCTTTAAGAAAATAAACTCAACCCTTTTAGACCATGCGCCATGGCGCAAAGCAGGTTTTCTCATCCTTAAATTAGCAAAAACACGTTCTGACACGCCCTGAAAGCGTTTGCGCCCTGCGTTTTGCGCTCTTCGCATGGACCGTCAAAATAGAGCCCTAAGTCTTTAATGGACATTTATAAGGATTTATAAAGCATAAATAGTCCTCACAAAACTGCATGAAGTTGTGTTCATAAAGAATTCATTAACATACAGAGTAACCAGTGTTACCAGTGCCTCCATAATAACATATCAAATGTGGATTTTAAGTAATTATTGATTTGCTTACTCATTCTTAATCTACCAACTACTTTTAAATACAACTGGTTTGTAAATAATCTACTAATTAATTTAGAATTGACAAATGCTTCAGTAACAAAGTATGAAAATACAATTATTAAACAAATTATACAAAATCTTAAACAAAATGTCTTAAGATGTAGACTTAATGCTTAACAAAGTATTAACTATTTTCTAATGCTGAATAAATTGATTTATAGTGTGTGAAGTGTTACCTAGCATGCATATGAAGCACAAATTGACATTTTTTCAAATGTATTTTCACAAAAAAATATTTTATCATTACAATGACAAAAACTGTAAGTGAGATGCATAATTATAGCAGATATGATGCTATTAAATCACTGTCTATATGTTTGATGTGCATTTTGGGAACGCATTCATAGAATTATGACACTGTTAAATGCTATGATGGCATCATTCACCATTCTAGACCATTATGTAAAATCAAATAAGCGACACAATGTTTCTCAACAGTAACACTTTATTTTGATGGTCTATTTGAGTATTAGTAGTCTGCTCAATATCAGCCAATACTACTCCTTCAACAGACTTTTAACTGACTATAAGAAACTTTGAAAGTACATGTCAACATAAACTAACCCTAATCCTAATCCCAACCTAACAATCTACTAATGAGAATTAGTTGGCATGTAGATGCTATTTAACTTAAATTAAACAAACAGACCATCGAAATAAAGTGGCTTTCTCAACAGCTGTTTCTTTATCTTCCCAGATATGCTTGTCTTGTTAGTTTATTGTACTTTCACAACAACTGCGTTGTTTGTCAAGGCCCAAGCCAAACTGGCTTCTGCAATGGAAGGAAGATGGAAATAAAGCTACATTCATTAGTCACCTCTCAGATAAATAAGGCGGTTGCTGATGGAGGCCTTTCACAAGCAGATATTGCCCCCTGCTGATAGGAACATAACTTGGACCTACCCTGAACCTCTTTCTCTGACAGATCACTGATTCACATACTAATAAAAAAATGATAATAATAATTGTAAACACTGTTTACATGCAGAGCCTTATATCAAGTAGAATGCATGCTAAATTCGCTTAAGCATTTTTCAAATTGTTGACTTTACTTAATAAGCTGGACTAAAACCTGCTATAGACTGACACTGCAAAGTGGACAAAGTGGCTATTTTAAGCCCTTTCAAGGATTTAATGGCTTGAAACTGTTCGAAAGACTGGTCAAAAAGACTAGCACTGTAGTTGACCACGTTAAAATAAAGGGTTAACTAAATAATTGCATAATCCTGCATTTTCAAAAGGCTACTGTTCCTACATGTGGACTGATTGCAGACAAGTAAATTTACATATTCACATTTCACTTATGAGATAAACATTGCATAGCTTTTTTTAATTTTGTTTATTTAATTGTGTATTTATTGCATAAAAGCTTTATAACCTAAATTAATTGTAAGTTAATAAATTAGTTAATAGTTAATAAAAGTATAAATAAATGCATACAATATTTTAATTAAATAACACTAAGATTTAACCAAATATATTGTAGTCAACAAAATCTAGAGTAATTTAGTCAGCTAATATCTGACTATTTAGTCTACTAATATCTAAGCATACTTAGATATTAGTATTCTGATACAGAAGACTAAAATATGACTGAACTTAAAGTGAATTTTAGTCAAAACACTAAAACAAAATCAAAATTTTCAGTCAAAATTAACATTAATGACTAGGTACAGTTGAAGTCAGAATTATTAGCCCCCCTGAATTATTAGTCACCCTGTTTATTTTTTCCTATTTAAAGGAGAGCAGATTTTTCTAATCTGATAGGTAAGATATTTCTAAACATAATAATTTTAATAACTCATCTCTAAAAACTGATCTATTTTATCTTTGCCATGGTGACAATAAATAATATTTACTAAATATTTTTCAAGATACTTCTTAAAGTGACATTTAAAGACTTAACTATGCTAATTAGGTTAACTAGGCAGGTTAGGGTTTTTAGGCAAGTCATTGTATAACAATAGCTTTGACCTTAAATTGGGTGTTAAAAAGTTAAAATCTGCTTTTATTTTAGCCAAAATAAAACAAATAAGATTTTCTCCAGAATAAAAAAATATTATAAAACATACTGTAAAAATGTACTTGCTCTGTTAAACATCATTTAGGAAATATTCAAAAAGAAAAAAAAAAATCAAAGAGGGGCTAATAATTCTGACTCCAACTGTATACCCAGATTTCCTTTATAAAAAAAAAAAATAATAAATAAATAAATAAATAAATAAAAATAAATAAAAATAAATAAAAATAAAAAAATTTTATATAAATCTTATAAATAATTGAATACAGTTTATCTTTGTTACACCTCCAAACATACTTTTTTGTGCCTAAATTCTCTTGAAAGGCTCAGTCAAAGGCCTTGAAAACACGTGCGAATGATAAACTTTCACTCTGTTATGGTTACTTAGCAGTGACTCTACAAACCACATGTGTTCTGCTGTGGCTTCTGGTCAACAATAATTCAGATCTTCATCATTGCAGATCTTGCAATGTGACTATTGCAAATGCACACATTCATTTTGATAACGAAACGATATATTGTGCAGACCTAGAATATATTTAAAAACATTTTTTAGAATTTAACTGGTAGAGCAGGTATGATCCTTTACATTGAACCAATTATATAAATAAATCTGGCTGTGTACCTACAGTTGAAGTCAGAATTATTAGTCCCCCCTTTTTTATCTTACAAATTATGTTTAACAGAGCAAGGAAATTTTCACAGTATGTCGGATAATATTTATTCTTCAAGAGAAAGTCTTATTTGATTAATTTCGGCTAGAATAAAAGCAGTTTTAAATTTTTTTAAGGCCAATATTATTAGCTCCTTAATTTTTTTCGATAGTCTACAAAACAAACCATCGTTATACAATAACTTGCCTAATTACCCTAACCTGCCTAGTTAAGCTAATTAACCTAGTTAAGCCTTTAAATGTCACTTTAAGCTGTATAGAAGTGTCTTAAAAAATATCTAGTCAAATATTATTTACTGTCATTATGGCTAAAATAGATCAAATGAATTAGTTATTAGAAATGAGTTATTAAAACTATTATGTTTAGAAATGTGTTAGAAATTTTCTCTCCCTTAAACAGAAATTGGGAAAAAAATAAACAGGAGGGCTAATAATTCAGGGGGGCTAATAGTTTTAACTTCAACTGTGTGTACAAGAGTATAAAATTTAAATAAAACTGCATATTATTACTCTTTCTAGATTTATCTACAATTGCAATGACTATTTTTGTGGGTCAACACTGGCAAGCATGCAGCAGTTTCAATGCTGACCCTGGAAACAAATTCAAAGAACATTTATTTTTTCGAATATATTATATATTTCGAATATATATTTTCCAGAACTTTTGACATTGAAGTTACATAAATTGTTTTTTTTTTTTTTTATAAAACGTAGTAAACATAATTTATTTTGCAGTGACCCCTTTAGAAAAATACCAATATGAATTAAAAATAAATAGCAATATGCAGTTTTCAATAGTTAAGTGTTCTACCTTCTGTAGTTGAGACATGCCATCTGGTTTCTCTATGTGATGTCTTTCAGAAGCCACCTGCTCCCTTGAGTGCATTTCATCCTCGATCTCCTGTAGACGTTTCTCTACCCGTAATGAGACCTAAGACACATCATGCAAGTTGACTCGACATGCTATTTAGTCCTTCAAAATAGCTCTGTTTAGCTAAAGCAATCTTCTGTCGTTTATTATAAAATATTCCATACAATGAACTATATCTTCTACTATGTGAACTATACAGGGCTGCATGGTGGCGCAGTGGGTAGCACGATCGCCTCACAGCAAGAAAGTGGCTGATTCGAGCCTCGGCTGGGTCAGTTGGCATTTCTGTTTGGAGTTTGCATGTTCTCACCGTGTTGGCGAGGCAGTGGGTTTCCTCTGGGTGCTCCCCCACAGTCCAAAGATATTTGGTATGGGTGAATTGGGTAAGCTAAATTGTCAATATGTGAATGAGTGTGTATGGATGTTTCCCAGTGATGGATTGCAGCTGGAAGGGCATCCACCACGTAAAACTTATGCTGCATAAGTTGGTGGTTCATTCCGCTGTGGCGACGCCAGATTAAAAAAGGGACTCAGCCAAAAATGAATGAATGAATGTTCTATACATTGTTTTATACAATGAATTCTCAGCTCTTACAAGCTCTTCACTTTTTGATGCCCGAACGTGGCCTGCAAGATCCTCCAATATCCTCTTAGTTTCTATGTCAGTCCTTTTGTAGGGCAAAAAACATACAAGAAAAAAATTATACAATGGATTTCTAATATATATTCATTATAATTACATGATTATAGTTACCTGTTTCTTTTGCTGATTTCTCTATCAATGTCATCACCCATTCGAAGTTGATCACTCCGCAGGTCTCTAAGTGACTGATGCAGTGAGTGTATCTAAGAAACGAAGAATTTAAGAGTCCAAATTTAAGACATTTTATTACTTTTTAAGATCCCACAAACACCCTGAATACATTCAAGCCTTCCAGTCACTGACTTAAACTAAAATTGTCTCACCTACAATTCCCAGATGTTAAAAAATGCTTTGATAAAACCAGACAAAAAGAATAAGGGCCATTTGTACCGATATACATATATATATATACATATATATATATATATATATATATATATATATATATATATATATATATATATATATATATATATATATATATATATATATATATATATATATATATATATATATATATATATATATATATATATATATATATATATATATATATATATATATATATATATATATATATATATATATATATATATATATATATATATATATATATATATATATATATATA